CATAACCCTAAACCTAACCCTAAACCTAACCCTAAACCTAACCCTAAANCCCGGTTGTGTGTGAGCCGCCCTGAGTCCCCTCAGGGAAAAGGGCGGCCTACAAATACTAATAAAATTCTAAATTCTAAATTCTAAACCGCTTAGAGAGGGCTGAAAGCCCTATGAAGCGGTATATAAGTCTACTGCTATTGCTATTGCTATCCTGATTTCCATCCAGGAGACTCCATTTCCTGTCAGTCAATCAATCAATCAATCAATCAGAATAGAGCTGAAAGGTACCTTGGAGATCTTCTAGTCCAAACCCCTGCTCAAGCAAGGGACCCTATACCAGGGGTTTCAAACTCAACTCCTGCGGGCTGGATCCGCCTCCCCCACCCCATTTTGGCCGGCAGGGTGCTGCAGGAGGATGTTCAGGCAGAAAATGGGGCACACGAGGTTGCCTGCTGCCCCCCTCCCCCCGTGCTGCAGGAGGACATCCAGGCCAAAAACAAGGCACCTGGGAGCTGCCTGCCGCCACCCTGTTCCCCCTTTTTGGCCAGCAGGATACTACAGAAGGGTGTCCATCCCGTCTCCTTCCCTTCTTTCCGGCCAGCCCATGGAGGACCACTACAATGCTGATCCAGCTGTCCAAGAAATCCACCCCTGCCCTATGCCTATTTCAGACAGGTGGCTGTCCAACCTTTTCTTAAAAACCCACAAGGCTAACCCTTTGAGGTAGGCTCAGCTGACAGAGAAAGTCTAAAGGCTGGCTTCCATCTGCAAAGAGGGTGCAGGGCTGCCTTAAAGCATGGGCCTGGTGGGCACTTGCCCGTGGGACCCATGAGCCTAGGGGCCCCATACTAATCTGTTTACCTTTCAATGCACCTTGTATCATAGAAATACAGCAACTGTATGGCTTACTGAGTATCCATCAGGCCTGCAATCATATTCCTCTTGGATCTTTGGCCTGCCACACTTTCTATAATTTTACTATGCCTTTTCTGTTGCGGGAAAATGGGAGGGGGGGAATTGTACGGAGTTAGATGCTATGTAGCCAAAACAAAATTCCATCTAGAAAGCCAAGGTCATCCTTTGTCTCTGCACCTCACCGGAACTGGATGGGTGGAACTGCCAGCATGGCAGTGGAAGATTGGATGATGTGACGGGCTTGTGGACGTGGGGGAAAGAACTTTCAACTGGGTGGNCCTCCTGCTATTTTCTCCACCACAGCGACCCTGTGAGGTCGGTTGGGCTGAGAAAGAATGACTGGCCCAAAGCCGCCTAGCTGGCTTTCATGGTTCAAGTGGGACTTGAATTCATGGTTATTTCTGTAATTAACGATATGGAAATAGGTTGGCAATGTCCTCCAGATAACGATGGTATTTTAGCACAGTGTGAACCCCAATATTAATAAGGTGACCAGACGTCCCGCTTTTGGCGGGACAGCCACGGTTTTTCAAAATTTGTCCCGTGTCCCTTTCTTCCTTCCTTTGCCTCCCTCCTCCCTTTCCATCCTGTAAACTGTTCAGAGAGGGCTGTAAAAGCACCATTTACAGCCCTCTTTTTCTTTTTTTTTACAGCTCAGGTGCCCCGAGGCGCCCTCCCTCCCCCCCCCCGGTCAATGGTGTCCCGCTTTACCTATCTTAAAATCTGGTCACTTTAAATATCAACCACCTCTATTGCCAACTCCCATTACTAAAAACTAAGATTGGGAAGGGCACTCCTCCCGTTGCTGATGGGTCTGTTAGGTCATTAACCAATATTGTATTCAATCACTCCTCTCAAGATTATTTGCTGTCATTACATTTGTCAGGGCTGATCCTTTGCATCCTAGAGGAGAAATTCAGAAAAATAGCTTAAGCAAAACTAAGCAAAACTGGCCCCTGTGTTTTTCTGTTTTTGTGTTTTTTTTTAATTTGTGTTTTTTAAACTCTGAAGCAGAGTTAGAAAGTCTGTAACCTCTCGTTTCCATCTCCCTGGCCAGCCTTACTGGCTGAGGCTGATAAGGGTGTCAGTCGAGCAATATTTGGAAGACCACCCCTGTTATAAAAGTCCGGAAATAAGACTAAAACATGTTTCCAATTTCAATTCAGACGAAAACGATGTTTCACTAGTTAGGGTTCCTCAACATAACAATGCTTATCTTCAAGCTGCTTTATAGCAAGGAAATATTAGCAAGTGATTACAATCTCCATTCTCGGAATTCGGTTGTGGCACAGCATTGTAGGCTGGCCATTGGGATTGGGAAAACAGGAAATAGATTAACCATCTGGCTCTCTTCGCTTCCTCTTAAGTCAAATCAAGGACAAGTTTATACTTCGAACTTCTCTGTTTTTCGTTTTCTGCTTTTTTTTTGGAAGTAGATAGAAAAAGCACAAGCTACACTGCGGGGCACAAGTCCTGGAAATCTGTACTGTATGTCTTATATTGTGATGAAGACACATTGGAAATGTCTTTTCTCTCTCTCTTTCTTAAAACATACTCTAGTACCCACAAGACAAAAGCAACAATGTCAAAATACCAGCACAGCTGCGAATCAATTTTTGGCTCGGCTTGAGTGCAGTCGACAAAAAATTCAATAGCTTTGCAGAAGGAGCATTCAGTGTCTTTGCTGAAATGGTACGTGCCTATTCATTAACTCTGTCGTTACTCCGTGACGTTGAGGTTTGGCCCTTATGCTAATATTCTGAAATCAGGCTTCAGGATTGTTTTTTCTTGTTCTTCTTTCTCAAGTCGAGTTCGAGTTTCGAGTTTCGTTTTATTTATATGCCGCCCTATTCCCGGCGGGACTCAGGGCGGCGCACAAACCCAAAGGAGGGGAAGGGAAAAACACCAAAACTATAAAAGTACAGGGCATTTAAAAAACAACCAACAACCACACGATTCGAGAGGGGAAAGGAACTCATCGACCCCAGGCCTGTTGGAACAGCCAGGTTTTAAGGGCTTTGCGGAAGGCCTGGAGAGAGGTGAGGGTCCGAATCTCTGCGGGGAGTTCGTTGCAAAGGGCCGGAGCTGCCACAGAGAAGGCCCTCCTCCGGGTAGTGGCCAGATGACATTGGCTGGTAGACGGAACCCGGAGGAGGCCCACTCTGTGTGATCTAATGGGTCTGTGGGAGGTAATTGGCAGCAGGCGGTCTCTCAAGTCTCCTCAGGACTTGAAAATGAAAGAAAATTTTGCTTCTGTAATGTGTTATACAACTCCTGTTCGTTTTAGTGGAACGTACTTGGGACACACGTACAGTGACTTCTGCCCAAGACTGATTAAATCAATAGTGCAATTACTTGTTCAAGGGTAAATCTTAATCTTTAGCTTTAGTTAATAGGTCTATCACTGGTTTTGCACATTGCCATCTAAAAACATGAAAAATGTGCTGTTTTGCATTCCCCTACTTATTCTCTTGGCGGGACCGCCTCCTGCCACATACCTCCCAAAAGATCTCACAGGATGGGCCTTCTCCAGGTGCCGTCGACCGGACAATGCCGGCTGGCCACCCCTCAGGGAAGGGCCTTCTCTGTAGCTGCTCCGACCCTGTGGAACGATCTACCCGCAGAGATCCAGACCCTTCCCACTCTCTCGGCCTTCCAAAAGGCCACTAAAACCTGGCTATTCCGGCAGGCCTGGGGCTGTTGACCCCATGAACGAGGTCCAGCCCCACCTAGATTGAGTGTGTGGTGTGTTGCTTTTTAAATCTGTTTCTCTTTCCCTATTTTTTAACTTTTTTACCTTTTCAGTCTTGTACTTTGTAAGCCGCCCGGAGTCCTTCGGGATTGGGCGGCATATAAATTCATTAAATTTACAATTTACTTTTGTAATAGTTGTCTTGAGTGCCCATGAATATAAAAGTAGAAAATAAAGTGATAAACCGCAAAAGACATAACAGCTTCATAGATTTGCACAGTATTACCTTTCTCAGTATTTTTTTTAAATCAAAGGCCTTATTTCAAGCTGCTACAGCTCAAAGCTTGGTTATGAAGGTAGAGGGTGCTTCAGTTCAGATAGCTGCACCTGTTATGCATGGCAGGTAAATATTTTGCGGTTGGAGGCTACACTTTTTTTTGGGGGGGGGGGCATGCACTAATATTACCAGGGGGACGCAGTGGCTCAGTGGCAAAGACCCTGAGCTTATGGATCAGAAAAGTCAGCAGTTCGGTGGTTCGAATCCCTAGTGCCGCGTAACGGAGTGAGCTCCCGTGACTTGTCCCAGCTTCTGCCAACCTGCCTGGAGACTCCATGGAATTATTTATTTATTAAATGGATGTACTACCCATATCATCTAGATGGAGATTATGGAGTAAAGCAGGAAGTGTTTGCATAGGGTTTTCTGCTTGAAAAGGTTCCTTCCAACTCTGTTATTCTTGAACTTGAGTATAAAGAAGTTTTAGAAATGTGCCTGACTCTTTGTTCTGATGGCTTTGGAATGCTGACAGGGAAGAGATTCGTTTTTCTAAAGTTGCATTTACTTTTTTTGGCAACAGTATGAAAACCAGGTTCTTATGTTTGGAAAGTGGGGAACCAGAGGGCTCGTCGGACGCCACAAGTTTTCGGATGTCACAGGAAAAATCAAACTGAAAAGAGAATACTTTTTGCCTCCCAAAGGATGGGAGTGGGAAGACGAGTGGTTCGTCGATCCTGAAAGAAGGTGAGATTTTGTCTTTGTTTCTCATAAAAGAGGTGGGGAACCTTATGCAATTTCCATGGGAGGAAATCTCATAAATTTAGCAGGAAGAAAGGAAGGCAGGAAAATGCTAACTCCTGTTCAAAAGCAGTTCTGTTAAGATCTCCTGCATAAACCTGTTTATGCCAAGGGGAAGTTAACATAAAGGCTTCCTTAAATTATGAATGTTGAGAAAAGGGATGACGGGTGCAAGCTTGTTTTGATACTTCTGGGGAAGCCAACAAAGGTTTATTGCATCCCAGGGAGAAATAACTATGCTATTTTAAGGGCCCCTCAAAGATTTGCGAGCCGAGGTGGCGCAGTGGGTAGAGTGCAGTACTGCAGGCNGGATCGCGTGGCGGAGAAGAAGAGAACAAAGAAAGAGAAGATGAGAGATCTAGTAAGGAGGCCTTTCCCCCCACCCCTCCAAGTCAGAGATGGTATTTGCCGGTTCTCCAAACTACTCAAAATCTCCGCTACCGGTTCTCCAGAACTGGTCAGAACCTGTTGAATCCCACCTTTGCCCTGTGATGTATCCACAATGGTTATGAATTCATGCGAAAATGGATCAAGGGATTTGTTTCTTTAATATGCACAACCAATAATGAATAACCATTTGATGGAGACGATAATATGTAAGACTTAGTTAGATCACACTATAAAAAAAATGTGGAGACTCTGAAAGGAGTGCAGAGAAGAGCAACCAAGACGATTAGGGGACTGGAGGCTAAAACATATGATGAATGGTTGCAGGAACTGGGCATGGCTAGTCTAGTGAAGAGAAGGACCAGGGGAGGCATGATAGCAGTCTTCCAATATTTGAGGGGCTGCCACAGAGAGGTGGGGGACAAGCTATTCTCCAAAGCATCTGAAGGCAGGACAATGGGTGGAAGCAATGGGTGGAAACTAATCAAGGAGAGAAGCAACTTAGAACTAAGGAGAAATTTCCTGACAGTGAGAACAACTTGTCTCAGAAGTTGTAAATGCTCCAACACTGGAGGTTTTTAAGAAGATATTGGACAACCATCAGTCTGAAGTGATGTAGGGTTTCCCGCCTAAGCAGGGGGTTGGACTAGAAGACCTCCAAGGTCCCTTCCAGCTCTGTTATTCTAAATTCTAGTTGACGGATAGAACCTAAAATATAAAATAACGGATGTGTTTGAGGAAGATTCCCCAGAAGCAGAGAAGATGAATGTAATAGGTTCAGACGGGCCACATATTTGGAGGTAGAATGAAAGAAAAACAAAATTAAATTTGCATAATCCCCAGTAAAAATAAATGTGTTGCGTAATACATAAGAGTCAGAATTCCATGGAAGGGGAGTCTCCGTTTCCAGTTACGAGTCTGGGGCAGGAGGCTGAAGGCTCTGAACGCTGCAGCGTTTTCATGCATGGATGCCAGCATCTCAAGTGAGTCAAAAAAAAAGGAAGAAAATAATTTGGCCCAATAGGTCAAGGAATGTAAACATAGTAAAAGCGGGGTTGGGGGGAGAGAAAGGGCTTTTGGGAAACAAATGCCTGCAACACAGAACCATTCCATTTTGGCAGCATTTTGGCAGTGATTCTTAGGAACCAGCACAAGAATATTGTGCATAGGTTATGCACTGAAAAAAAAATCAGTGGAATTTTAATCCCATTTGGTTTTCTTTCCTTCCTTCCTTCCTTCCTTCCTTCCTTCCTTCCTTCCTTCCTTCCTTCCTTCCTTCCTTCCTTCCTGTATTCCTCCCCATTTCCATTCCCCTCTCCTTCCCATTTTTCTACATTTCACCCTCTCAATTTCCTTCCTCCCTCCCACCCTCCCTCTCCCTTCCTTCTTTCCTTCCCTCCCATCTTCCTATTTTCCTCCCTCCCCTTCCTTCCTTCCTTCCTTCCCTCCCTCCCTCCCTCCTTTCCATCTTCCTACTTTCCTCCATCCCTCCCCTTCCTTCCTTCCTTCCTTCCTTCCCTGCCTCCCTCCTGCACATCTTCCTACTTTCCTTCCTCCTTCCCTCCCTCCCTCCCATTTTCCTACTTTACTTCCTCCCTTTCTTTCCATTCCCATTCCTTCCTTATTCACCCTCCCTTCCTCCCACCTTCCTACTCTCCTTCCTCCCTCCCTCCTCCCTCCCTCCCATCTTCCTACTTTCTTCCTTCCTTTCCATTCCCATTCCTTCCTTACTCATCCTTCCTCCCTCCCTCCTTCCCATCTTCCTACTTTCTTTCTTTCTTTCTTCCCTCCCTCCCTCCCTCCCTTGAGAACTTCTCATGGAACAGCAGACTTCTTAGTGGACTTGCCGGGCATCTTCCCCGGGGCCTGCAAATTGTTGCCCCCGGCTGCCAAGAACTATTCAGAAGGCTGTGAATGATTCACAAGCTACCTTTAAATCCTTTGCCTTCCACCACATGCTGTGGAGGGAAAGAACAGGCCCTGTAGGGCTCAGCTGAAGGCATGGCTTTCTCAGAGTTTTGCCATTCTGATCTGGATCCATGTTTCGGAGATGGATGTCAGACCTGCCAGGTAGGCCAAAGAGGAAACCCAGAATCTTGGCAATGAGGGAGCCCTCAATGCTCTCTGCTTTCTTGCAGACGTTTCACCAACAAACTAGGTAACAACATCAATGCTAGTGACTATAACTAGCCCTGATGATGTTACCTAGCTGGGTCATGAAACGTCTCAAGAAAGCAACCGAGATCAGAGAGCTCCAAGGATCCCACAGTCCTCCTCCTCCTCCTCTTCTTCCCCCTCCTCCTCCTCCTCCTCCTCCTCCTCTCCACAAACCCCACTCATTTCTAGCTATGATGATGTTACCTAGTTGGGTCATGAAACGTCTGCAAGAAAACAACTGAGATCAGAGAGCACCAAGGACCCCTCATTTCAACCCTGAACCTCAAATATTCTCAAATATTCTGAGGCCCACTCATTACCCAACTGTGGGCTAAGGCCCCTCTTATCTGCCCCTTCTCTCGGCAGCCCCTCTCCTCAAATCCTCACCCAAGGTCTTCCTACTCTTGCAATAGGGCATGAGGTCAGCTTTATAGCAACCTAACTGTCATCGCTTCTCCCAGGGAATCCTGGGAGCTGTGCCTGGCGAGCTCCACCCCCCTACCATATTCTAGAACGGTTAGGCCGGCTCTGACCCCACCCCCTTCCACCAAGCCACACCCACCCTTGGACTACAGCTTCAGTTATCCTCAGTCGGCATCCTCTGGCTGGATAGGGCGAGGATGGTCGTGGGACCCCAGCCTGGTCATCCCAGTGATGTCCATTCAACCGTAAAAGGAGGGACCAGGTGATCTAGAACCTCCGTTCTCCGCAGGAGAAGGGATTCCTCTCCGTCTGTGTGTCCAAACCACGTTTATCCCTGTTAATGCGACGAAGGAAGCCGAGGATCAGCGGAGGGTTGCTTATGTTGGAGAAAGCCCACCGGAGAAGGAGCTGTGGCTCTCCGTCCCTCCCTCCAACCCGCTCCATCCTGAGACCCACCGCAGCTGTTTGGAACTAAAAATAGCTCTCTCTCTCGGTGATCCAGTTACGAGATGGCTTGACCCTAAAATCCCTGGCGGCAAGGAAAATGTTGTCTTTGCAACACCACCGGGAATGCGTGGTTGTGCAACTTCAGCATGCGGGGACCGAACCCGCCGGGTTTGCAGCTGCAAGCCAAAAGCCAAGATCTCCCGCTGTAGAGGACTAGAAACCTCTCGTCCGTTTATTGCATGTGCCTGAGGTGGGTGTCAGCCCTGAAGCTATTTTCCCACCCTTGGCACTTCAAGGCCGTGACCCGTCAAAACCGCGTTCCACAAAAGCGCGGTCGACGAAATCGCGTATGTGACATCATCACAACGCGACGAAAAAGATTGAAAAATTGAAATAAAAATTAAACTAGAGCAAGCCGATTCACATAAAGGTAAGGGTTAGGTTAAGGGTTAGGTTAAGGGTTAGGTTAAGGGTTAGGTTAAGGGTTAGGTTAAGGGTTAGGGTTAGAGCGTTAGCGTTACGTTTAGCGTTAGGTTAAGGGTTAGCATTAGGTTTTTCGTTACGTTAAGGGTTAGGTTTAGGGTTAGGTTTAGGGTTAGGTTAAGGGTTAGGTTTAGGGTTAGGGTTAGGGTTAGGTTTGGGGGGGTTAGGGGAAGGTTTTCGCTTTATTTTTACATTTTTCGATCTTTTTCGTCGCGCTGTGATGACGTCACATACGCGCTTTCGTCGTCCGCGATTTTGTCGTCCGCGGTTTTGTGGTAGAACCCTTCAAGGCTGCCACGGGGCAGATGGGTCGAGCTGTGGGAATGGGGAGGGGGAGGCAGAGATAGCTGGGGGATGGTAGCCGAAATAAAATCCCTTCCTCTGACAGTGAAGGACTTTCCCACCAGGTGCTAAGGAGGTGGGATCTTAGTGTTGTGGTCTGGTGGCATATTCGGACAGTGAGGAGGTTGGGGAGGAACCTGGGCCAGTCCTGGAGTCTGGGGAAGGCTCTGGTGAGGGCTCTGTGTCGGAGGCAGAGAGGGGGCCAGGGACGTATGCCAGTTATCAGCTGCCTTCAGAGTCAGACATCAGTGAGGCAGAAGAACAGCTGGAGCCTGTTCCCAGTATGAGTTGCCAGATGAAGGGAACAGCTAAAGAACAGGGGTCGACTTGGGAGTGAGGCCATCGATGAAGGATGAATGGCCCTCCCAGAGGGAATAAAAGGGGAGCGAAGGGGGGGGGGTGGAATTTGCACATTAGTTCTCTTAATTGGTTCGTGACTCTCCGAGGCTCCTGGCCAAGTTTTGCAGATATCGGCCTGGCAGCTCTCCAAGCCAGATAAGGTCTGTGACTGTAAATCCTCCCTTGAAAGACTTTTCTTGATGTGAATGAGCAGAATTCACAAGGACATTAATAAAAAAGGGGGGGGATTTTGTCGGGACCGGGACCAGAACACGGAGACCAACCGACCCTTGAACTGTGAGCTGATTGGACCCTGTGACGAATCGTATGGGCAGAGGAAAGAAAACTTTACTTTTCACTGGGAGGGGGTCCCCAGGGGGTCTCTAGAGTCGGGTTTCCCCAGACGTGCCAATATGACATGCCTAATAGATCTGTACTTTGAGAAGTTTGCCTGCCTTGGAGTTTCGATTCTCTTGGGTGTGTTACTTGGAGCCCTGACGCTTAACCCAACTCTCCAAAGAAAACCTTGCTTCCTGAACGTGTCGGATGTGGGAAGCAAAGTTCAGGGGCTTTGCCCCATTTCTAGTTTGGGGTTCTTGCACCCCTTGGTAGAACAGCTAGTGACAGGGAGGGTGGCAAAGTCCTTTTGGGGGGTTTTCTCTTGTGAGTTCCTCCATTCTTGTTATTGTTGTTGTCATTTATTTGTTTGCCATCCTTTCGCGGATCGAGGTGACTCTGGGTCTCACGAACTGTGTGATGAGCGCCATGCGTTGCGGGCAGTAGTGGGTTTCAAAAAAAATTTAGAACCTACTCTGTGGGTGTGGCCTCGTTTGTAGGAGTGGCTTGCCCACCATGTGACCTGGTGGGAGTGGCTTGCCGGCCATGTGTTTTCTTTCTTTCTTTCTCTCTCTCTCTCTCTCTCTCTCTCTCTCTCTCTCCTTCCTTTTGTCTCTCTGTCCCTTTTTCCTTTTTCCTTTCATCTCTCTCTCACTTTTTCTTTCTTTTTTTCTTTTTTTATTTCTTTCTTCCTTTCTCTTTCTGTGGTGGCTTTCAAATTTTTTTGAACCTCTTCTGTAGGTGTGGCCTGCTTTCCGGGTCCACTGGTGGAACCTCTTCTAACCGGGGTTCGGTAGATTTGACGAACCGGTTCTGCCGAATAGGTGCGAACTGGTAGGAACCCACCTCTGGTTGCGGGAAACCAGGTCTGCGTTGCAGGTAGTCTTCAACCCACAAGCATAATGGAGCCTGCAATTGCAGGTTCGATTCCCGTCATAACTTATGGAGGTCAGTAAGTGGGTCATCACATAACTGCTCCCAAAGTTATAACCTTTCATTTCTTTTCTTCTTTTCTTTTTTGAGGGGTGGTGAGGGTTCAGTGGCTATGGCAGTTGCTAAGCCAATGCTGTGGTCGTTGAGCAAGCACAACGGTCGTTAAAGGAACCAGTTGTTTGCTATGAGCTGTTTCCCCCCCAAAAAAAACTAGAAGCTAAGTGGAAGAACGGGGAAAAAAAGATGCATTTGGGGAAGAGACATTGTTGTGTTGTCAAACTGGGTTCCTGGTGGCCCTGTAGACATGACCCAATAGTTGAGTGGGTGACATCTTCAGAAGGGGCTTTCCGTCCTTCCAGATAAGTTTTTCCCACTTCTCCATCTGGGGCCGAGACAGAAGGGCTGGCCCCCAAATCAACCAGCTGGCTTCGGCGCCCAGGAAACAGCGCCTAGTCCGGGATCTGTATCCGCTGCGCCAAAGCTGGGAGGGATGCAACAACACGGCTTGAGGTCCCTCTTGTGTGGTTTGGATTCTCCTCCTGGCCCTTCCTTTTCCGGCATTCTTGCTGGACCGCGTCCTTCCATTCTGCATCAGCCCCACCTTGGTCGTTCAAGGAGTCAGCTGCGTCCCTGCAAGCCGCAACCTCTCCGGAGCCCTTGGAAGGCGGTGCATGCATGCTCCAGAAAGCCCTCTTGATGCATGCCAGACCAGGGAGAAAGAGGACGCACCAGATTCTGCAGCTGAGGCGAGCTTCTCCCCATGCCCCGGGCTGTCTCCCCACGCCGCGTTGTGTTTTTCCTCCGCCAAAGTCCTCCCTTCCCTCCCTTCCTCCCTCCTTCCCTGCCTGCCTGCCTACCTGCACCTGAGTTCCCACGGGCGTGTCCCATGATTATGTGCGTGCGTGAATGATTCACCCGTCTCTCTCTCTCTCTCTCTCTCGTGTCTCCCACAGCCCCAGGCACTCATTGTGAGATGATGCCACTTTGCTTCTAACATCACAAGAAACAAAGCTCCCGTAGAAGTGGCAGACACAAACGGTGAGCATCCTCTGAGGGTTGGGAGGGGGCGAAGGGGGTGGGTGGGGAAGAAGTACAGGTTGTACGGGCTTCCTTGGAGGCGGCCTTGAGGGGCCGGGCTTGACAGAGATGAAGCTGGCCATGCCCACCGTCGTTGGGAGTTTTGGTGGTGCA